GGGGAGGCACATCTGATGTGACTGTGTGTGAGGATTTGGAGCAGCGAATTTAAGACCATAAACACAAAGATAAAAGTAAAACACGCAAAAACAAGAGATTTGGAACTAAAAGTACTGGACATGTTCAAAAGTGAAGGCCAACACTATTTATGAATAAATTAAAGATTAGGTTTGCAGAGCCAGAAAGCAATAAGGAGAAGGTGGAGAAAAGAAAGTCACAAACATGGAAAATAGATAAAACAGAAAAGAGATTCTGCAGCCAAATCCAGTATCAGAAAACATAGAAAATTGTCCTTCTCTGTTAGGGAGAGTTAATATAATATGTGATTTTGAGTTTGCTGAGGGAGACAGAGCCCACAACAAACCTTTGCCCGATTCCCTGAAGTAATGATCATAAGTAATTGTTATGTGAGTGATAATGCTGAACAATTATATCTGGCCCATAAGATCGTATCATATTGTATTGTTATTGGCCCACCAGTATGAAGTCTGCAGACTTCTTCCAATATAATAATGTAAACTTTAGCACCTTTATTTAAAATGTCCTTAATAAGCCAGGAAAATCTGAGAAATTAAAGAGTAAGGAAGATTTGATAGGTGGTCAAGAATGTGGAAAAATATATACTTGGTGTTTTATTTCATGTTTCAATTTTGCATCTCAAGATTACAAGTCGAACATAATTGGATTTTTTATTTCGTGCTTTTATGTTGTTCAACTCAGTATTTAGATTTGTGTCATTTTTATACTTTAAATTATTTTTTTTTCTTAATCATGCTCTGATCTTTTGAACTAATAAATAAGAATAGAATAAAAAACTAATTTTTTTTCTATCTTAGGTTGCCTTTAAACTTATTATTATTATTTTTTATTTATCTCTTTTGAAATTCCAAATGATTTAAAATCATTGCTATTTTTGTCCCATATGTTTTGAAAAGGAAATTGATAGTTTTGGTGAAATGTTGACCCTCTCTGGCCCTGAGGTTAGACCTAAATCCAGATTATGGCCCTTGCTGTGGTTGAGTTTGACACCCCTGGCCTAGATTATGTTCACTTGGAAATGCACTGATAGTATGATTTCAATCTTAATAAATGGCACACAGGCTAGCTATGTGCCGTGGAAAACCACACACCTTGTTGGGCTGATTGCCAGACTACCGCAAACTGAACAGGGGGCAGGGAGATGGATACAAGTTTTTGAGGATGAACTGTAGGGAAATGTTCTCTTTTTTTATTTTTTTTATTTTATTTGTGCAGTGTGACAATACAAGACATACAACAAACAACAGCATTTGTGGTTTTGTGTGTGTGTGTGTGTGTGTGGTGTGTGTATTATATATGTGAATAATAATGAAAAAATAAATAAATAAATATTTCAATTGTTAGACAAGCAAAAGAAAATTATAATACACGAACAATATCAATAATAATAATAATAATAATAATAATAATAATAATAATAATAATAAGAAGAAGAAGAAGAAGAAGAAGAAGAAGAAGAAGAACAACAACAACAACAACAACATTCAATATTAATAAAGACGGTGAATAGCAATAATAATAATATGGGTGGAGGGGGGGTCTTGAAATTTGTGGACCACCTAGGGTCCCTTCCCACTCGCGTGAGACCTGCCTGCATCCCCCCAGGCCCCCAGACCCCCCCCCCCCCCCAACCCCCGCATGCCCCGGACTGAATGCGGCACAACACCTTGCCCTATGTCTATATATGTATTTAGTCTTTGTTATTTACTTAATATACTCTATAATTATTTATTTATTTATTTTTATTTTATTATTATTATTATTATTATTATTGTTGTTGTTTTTTTTTATTTTAATTTTTTATATATATATATATTTTTTTTAAATTTCTCTCATATATGTGCTTTCTAATGTTGTGCATTAAAACCGAGGAAAAGGGGTTGTCCTGAACTATAATTTGATATGATTGAGACCCCTTTCCTCTTCCAAATCTATTGTGATGTGCAATAAAAAAGGTGATGTGCCATCTGAAGACAGTCCAGGGCGGAGAACTGGGGGAGGGGGGAGGCCGGGAGGGCAAGGAGATCACAGGTCATGGCCTAACAGGCGCGACCCAGCGGGGACCCGAGCAGAAAATGATAACTGTAAATGTAAATATATAAATAAATAAGTATAAATAATAATAATAATAGACAATGACAATAATATTCATCATAATATTTGTAGTAATATGTAGTTAAAATAATAATAATAATAATAATAATAATAATAATGATAATAATAATAATAATAATAATAAAATAAAATAAAATAATAATAATAATAAATAGATAAATAAATAAAATAAAAATAAAAAATTGGGAATGAAAGTGTCAGAGAACTGAGATGGATGATGTTGTGACTGGTTTGTGGCAGATTATGATTGTAGAAAAGTGATGAATGATAACCAGGTAGAGTTATGATTATTGTCAGAGGAGTTTGTATTTTCTAAGGAGATGTAGTCTATGAGCAGATTTTTCCAGTGTATGATGTGTATGGAGTTCCGAGACTTCCAGTTCATGAGGATAGTTTTCCTGGCGACGGTTAGTGCCACTAGAAGTGAACGTGTGTGTGTTTTGTCAAGTTTTAATGTAGATAGGTCTCCTAATAAACAGAGGGAAGGGGAAAGTGGGATGTGGCAGCCCATGATCTGGGATAATGTTTCTGTAATGTTTCTCCAGAAGTGGTGAACAGGTGTGCAGTGCCAGGTTGCATGAATATAGTTATCAGTGCAGTTTAGTGAGCAGTGTGAACAGTTTTCAGATGATGAGAAGCCCATTTTTTGCATTTTGTGTCCAGTCAGATGAGTTCTATGAAGGATTTTGTATTGTATGAGTTGTAAATTGGCATTTGTCATCATGGAGAAAATGTTCTTGCAGATTTGGGGCCAGAAGTCAGCATCAGGAGCAATGGAGAGGTCAGTTTCCCATTTTTCTGAAGGTATGGAGGGTGTTGAATCGGCCTGTGATAATAATTTGTATATTTTAGATAGAAGTTTCTTTGAGGAAGGGATGTTAATGAATTTAGAGGGTAACGGGGGGAGGTCTAAGTTTATATTCTTGTTTTTCATTGTTGATTGGATGGATGATAAAACCTGTAGATATTGTAAGAATTGATGGCTCCTGATGTCAAACTTCTGGACCAGGAGAGAGAATGGGACCAGGGTGTTATTGTAACAGATATGTTTGAGGTGAGTAATCCCTTTCTCTACCCAGGTGCTGAAGTTTAGTGATTGTTTATTGCTGATGAAGTCCAGGTTGTGCCAGATCGGGGTGAAAAGCGATGGTGCCAAAGTAGGGAAATGTTGACTACACCAGACATGAAAGCACTCTTGGCTAAACTGCTGGGAACTAAGACGATGGAGGAGTTTCTGCACAAGGCAAAACAAGGTTGAATGACGTATCCCATGATAGATGGGAGTGAGTTCAATGCATATTGTGATGTGATGTGGAGGGTGCTGCCAGATGAAGAGCGGAGACTGAAAGAACAGGAAAAGAACATTCAGCGGAAGTTGATACAGCTACAGCTGGGAGAACTGCAAAGCAGAGACAAAGTACAGACTCAGGCCGCGATGGTGGCCACCTCTAAGGGGGACACTGCAAAAGAGACCCAGCAATGCAAACCGTGCAGACGCTAACTGCAGTAAAGCCTGTGACAGTAACCTGTTTAATCACCTGTTGTGAATGTTTATCCTCAGACAGAACCCTGCTCCATAGAGATGATATATCCCGGCAGGGGGAGAGAGTGGAATTCTGACGGACGTGTGACGTCTAAAGACCTGCTGGGGATGTGATCATACCAGACATTTTTGACAACTGCCCAGACCAGGGATGCCTCTGGCTGGAGAGGTGGTGAGGGGCCCCAGCCCAGACAATGTGAAAGTGGTGGCTTACTACAGTGTGATTTTTGTGGATGATGGAAAAAGTTAATTGTTAGTTTTAATTTTAACCCTGTTGACCTTATAGACCAAAAAGCCCTATGTAGAAGTAACATTCAAATTTGGTGCGCACCGCAAGGTGTGTACGTAGACAGTTATGGTTTATAATTTTAATAAAATATCGTGACCGAATATGCAAAGATATATTAGCTGGGTCATATTGCTATAATAAAAATATACCAAGGTTTAAATCACAAATGTCCAGGTGTTATTGAAAGAAGTTTTTGACCCATCACATAGTAAGATGCACTGAGGATAAGATTGGATGAAAACATTATGGTGTGTCCTTGAGTCCAGTATAATTGGACCTGAGGCTGATGTGAGACTGTCATATAGAGTAAAATATCCTCTAAAGTGAGCAGCTGAGGAGGGAAGCAGAAATTAATTGAGAGAACCGCAGTGCTAATTGAGATCTGGGGTGTAACATTCCTACTCTGTTAGTTTAATACTGATTAATCTAAATGCAGGTGCGCTGAATCCACATACAATCCTCACAGATGTGCCACCTAATGTAAAAGTAATGAGAAGCTATCAGGGGTCAATAAGGCCACAGAAAATGTTTTAAAGTCAAATAACTATTTTGCTACCAGTAGTATTAACAAACGAACTTAGGATCTGACTTTCACAGTGATTCACACTGTGCAATGGGGAGACAATGAGACAATTAAAAAGTGAGATTTTTAGAATATTCTGACAATAGTTGATAAACTCTTGGGTCATTGTGATACGTGTTTTTTAGATTAATTGAACAGAACAATAAAACATTAGTGGGACACTTTTCCAGTTCCAGAGAGACGCTTTTAGAAATCTATTCATAGACAATGTGGACATGATTAAAACTGCCAAGGGATATGTTACATGTTTGTAATGATGACGGATTCAGTCGATGGATAGAAGCAACACCATCAAAAGATCTTGGAGTCAAAATAAATCTGTCACTGCATGATTTGGTACAGCATTTTGGGGAAGAAAGTTAATCTCTCAAGTAAATATCAGATCAGAAAATTTGCACTAACACTAACTTATAGGAAGATGCTTTGCTACTTGCGCTTATGAGCTTTCACAATCAAAAGCACTGTGATAAATCTTTTACTGCATGAATTACTAACTTACAAAGCTATGCTTTACTGCGGCTAAACAATTAAGCTTTTCGCTTGAGCAGCTGAAAATTAGTGAATTAAATATATGAGGCAGCTAACTACGATGCAAAGATCTATCGATTAGCAGGAGGAATGCCAAAATCTGATCCCAGTCAAGAGGTGGAGGCCAGTCGAGCCAGAGCACCAGGTGTACATCACCGTCCTTTGAGCAGGGTGGCACAAAAAACGAGGAGAAGACCTGAACACTGTGGTCCTGGTGACATCTACGTCAGTGCAGGAAGAAAGCAATATGATGTGGCGTCATCTACCGCTGACTGCCCAGAAAAAACAAGGGAAGTATGACTTGATAAGAGACACTCCCAGAATGACTGTGCAACTCATCCTGAAAGTAACTGTTTTCCTGGTGTTGCTGCTGAGGGACAATGTGTGGAGAGAGACCGAGAGAGAGACTGATGACAACAATGAGGGTGAAGGTCAAACTGGTGCCAGTACAGCTGTGAGAAGAAGAAGTGGGAGACATTGTCATCGCGGGTGAGTACGATGCAACCCAAAACACAATCCACACCACTCCAGACAGAGCTAGAACCCATGCCAACATTCACAGATTATTACAGATTTACAATTAGGTTAAAGAAAATAGATAATAAAATTAAAAAGAACTTTTTTTATATAGATAATCAGAAACAAGAGAGCCCTACACACTGAGTAGATCTGATATATTGAAGGAAAAGTTCCAGATGAATTTATCACATAGGAAGTAAAATGAATGTTGAAAAGTCGTGTGTGGTATTAAAATAAAGGTGGTAAATGGGGAAGAGATTTGTGCCAGATTTTTACAAATAAGAGAAGAACTGTTTTTTAAACCTAAATTTAAGCAATTATGTGACAGAAATTATTGTTTGATTTGATTTGTTAATTATTCAGCGAAGATGTTTAGATTAAAGGATATTTACATGTAACAAGTCCACTAATATGTCAATACAGACAAACATTAAATTGGGTACCATAAAATACCAAATAACAGCCGGGTTCCAATTAGCCGCTGGGTCCCAATTAACCGCAGGGTGCAGCAATGCATTTTGACAAATAACCGCCTGTTCCAAATAAACGCCTTGCCTAATTTACCGGTAGAGGGCGTAAGTCACATGTCACATTGCCACTGATCAATCGCCATGGCTCCAGTGCAGCGGAAAAATAAAAAATTCGATTTGAAATTCAAACTGTCTGTCGTCAAATATGCGGAAGAAAACTCCGGAGAAGCAGCAGCGAGACAGAGTGGCTAAAAAATAAAACTGAACTTAAGCGTCTTTCCGAGGAGGATAGCAAAAGGGCTAGGCTGCGCGGTGGAGGGAGAAAGAAGGCTAGCGAGGAGCTGGAGTTAAAAAAGAGGGAATGGGTCATCGGTAAGCGTTTGCGCCACGAGAGAGTGAGCCGAAAAATGATCAGGGCGAAGGCTAAAGAAATGTTCGCCACCGTGAGTGACAGCAGTGATGAGAGGTTTTCTGCTAGTGCTGGGTGGCTAAACCCTTTCCTTCGCCGCAACAACTTTACTTGCAGAAGACGTATAACTATTGCCCAGAAAGATACCAAGGAATTCACCGAGAAGCTGGTGAAGTTTGTAAATTTTTCATCGCGGATGATTGAAAGGATGAAGATACTGGAAAGAGACATCATAGCGATGGATGAAACTGCGGTATGGTTTGATATGGTCGGGTCAACTACTGTGGAGACGCGAGGGACGCGCAGTGTTCCAGTGAAAACTACAGGCCACGAGAAGAGCCACTTGACCGTTGTGCTGGCGGCGAAAGCGGACAGGACGAAGCTAAAGCCTTATGTGGTTTTTAAAGGAGGTATCAGGGAAGTCAAGGCAATGCAAAACATCAGTGGAGTGGTGATAGCTTCCTCTAAAAACGGCTGGATGAATGACGACCTGACTGCAGACTGGCTGCAAAAAAGTAGTGGGGAAATTCAACTTTGGCCCTCGTCTCCTTGTGTGGGATTCCTACCGATGCCACATCAGCCAGGCCACCAAAAGGGAGCTCAAGAAGGGCTACAAGATAACTACAGCTGTGATACCGGGAGGATGCACAAAATATATCTAGGCACCTGATGTTGTATGGAATCAGCCATTCAAAGCCAGTCTGCGTGAATCATTTGACAGCTGGATGGCCAGCGATGCGGATAAGACCTACACTGCTGGAGGAAACCTGAGAGCCCCAGCTCGTCGCTTACTGGTCGCCTGGGTGCTTAAGGCTTGGGAGGAGTTGGATACAGAGATGGTGAAAAATTCCTTCAAGGTATGTGTGTGTGTCTGATTGATTGAGATCTTATTATTAGTCTGTGGAGGCGTAATATATTAATTTGTGGAATATTGTGCTGAAAGGTGTGTGGCCTGACAGTGGCAGCTGATGGCGATGAGGACCACCTGATTCAAAGACGGAGAGCCATGTGCAGCAGGGAGAAAGATGCTGGCTCAGGCCAGACAGGGAGAGGAAGAGGAAGAAAAAGAGGCCGAGCAGCAGGAGGAAGATGAGGAGGAAGAGTTCAACAATGAACTGGTAGTTGAGGATGATGATGAGGAGGAAGAGGAGGGGGAGGAAAGTGATGAGGGTGATGAGGAGGATTAAGAGGATGGACATGGACTTGGTCTGACAGCAGGCTGTTCTGCCAGTGGCCTTGTTAATTTACCCCACTCAGGTTGCTGTCATTGTTTTATTTTATTTGACGTGTTACACATGTTGTGTTTATTTGACATGTTGCTGACATATATATCCAGGATATGGCCATTATTGTTCAGAGTTTGTCCTTGCATTATCAGCCTTGTGTACCAGCAGGCTATATGTTGTGTGTTCTTTTAGTTCCTTACTGGCATTTATGGGTGATTCATTCAGCAATCCTTTGATGGCTTGAGGTTTAATTTAATTGGAAAAAGTATAACAACAGTACAGTAATCCTACCTGAAAATATAAAGGTATTCACACTGATGTAAATTTAATTTACCATATTTTCCTATTTTTGCTAAGCAAGATTTTTGTGAGAAAGGATTTAAACGCCTGTCCCATATGAACGCCTAGTCCCAAATAAACGCCTGGTCTGTTCGTTGATTGAAACAAATAAACGCCCCGGCTATTATTTGGTATTTTACGGTATTTGAAGAGAAAAGATGTGTCTTAAAGGTTTGGAAAGTACTGTTGCAGATACATTTCTAACAAAACAAGCCACTGGGGGAGGTTTTTCTAAAGCTATGAAGGGTATAGAAAAGCTAAAAGTGGAGATGTGGGAGAATGCTGGTAAGGGGGGCCTGTTAATGGACTGGGTGGTCCAAATTTTAATAATAATAATAATAATACATTTTATTTGTATTTGCGCTTTTCAAAAACACAAAGACGCTGTACAGAGTTAACAATATCAGTAAAACACACATCAATAAGCAATAAAATTTACGACAATATCAATAAAAACATGTAGAATCAGGTAAAATCCAAATAACAATAAAACACACATCAATTAGCAATAAAATTTACGACAATATCAATAAAAACATGCAGAATCAGGTAAAATCCAATGGGGGGGGGGGCTAAGGAGGATGAAAGGCAGTGCGGAAGAGGTGGGTTTTGAGAAGGGTCTTGAATCTGGTGAGGTCAGTGCAGTTTCTGAGTTCGAGTGGGAGTGAGTTCCAGAGGGTGGGGGTGGCGACTGAGAAGGCTCTGTCCCCCCAGGTTCGGTGCTTGGTCAGGGGAACTGTGAGGAGGTTGGCATTGGCGGAGCAGAGGGTGCGGGAGGGGATGTAGGGGTGGAGAAGATCCTGTAGGTAGGGGGGGGCGAGGTTGTGGAGTGCTTTGTGGGTGAGGAGGAGGATTTTGTATTGAATGCGATGGGGGATGGGGAGCCAGTGAAGGTTTTGGAGGACGGGGGTGATGTGCTGGTGGGAACGTGTGTGGGTGAGGAGGCGGGCGGCAGAGTTCTGGATAAGCTGAAGTTTATTGAGGAGAGTGGAGGTGGTGCCATAGAGGAGACTGTTACAGTAATCTAGACGAGATAAAATGAATGCATGTATAAGGGTTTCAGCTGCAGGGTAGGAGAGGGAGGGGCGGAGGCGGGCGATGTTTTTGAGGTGGAAGTAGGCTGTTTTAGTGATTTGCTTTATGTGGTGGGTGAAGGAGAGGTTGCTGTCGAAGAGAATGCCAAGGTTGCGACAGTGGGAAGAGGTGGAGAGGGTGGAGTTGTCGATGGAGAGATGAAAGTCTTTGACTGTGGCGGTGAGGGAGTTTGGGCCAATGATGAGGAGATCTGTTTTGTCATAGTTGAGCTTGAGAAGATTGCTGTCCATCCAGTGTTTGATGTCAGAGAGGCAGTTTGAGAGGGAGCGTTGGGTCTGGGGGGTGATGGAGTTGGAAGAGATATTTAATTGAATGTCATCAGCGTAGCAGTGGAAGTGGAGGTTGTGTTGACGGAGGATGTGGCCAAGAGGGAGGAGGTAGATGATGAAGAGGAGGGGACCAAGCACCGAGCCCTGGGGGACACCTTGGGACACGGGGGCGGTTGTGGAGGAGCAGTTGTTAATATGGATGAAGTGATTCCGGTCTGTGAGGTAAGAGTGGATCCAGTTAAGAGCGGTGTCTGTGATATTGAGGAGGGAGTGTAGGCGGGACAGTAGGATGGCGTGGTCGATGGTGTCGAAAGCGGCGGAGAGGTCGAGGAGGATGAGGATGGAGAGTTGGCCGGAGTCAGCAGAAATGAGGCAGTTTCGGTGCTGTGGTGGGTGTGGAATCCTGATTGAAACTGTTCGTAGAGGTTGTTATTGTTGAGGTGGGTTTTGATTTGTGATGCAATTACACGTTCGAGGATTTTTGACAGGAAAGGGAGGTTGGAGATGGGCCGGAAGTTATTGATGTTGTCGGGGTTGAGTCCGGGTTTTTGGAGGATGGGGGTGACAGCGGCCAGTTTTAGTGACGGGGGAACAGTGGCGGAGTTGAGGGAGGAGTTGATGATCTGTGTGATGATGGGGGAGATGACGGGGAGGCAGTGCTTGATGAGGGAGGATGGGATGGGATCCAGGATACAGGTGGATGATGACATGGAGCAGATGATATTGGTCACGTCGGTTGAGGAAACAGGTGAGAAGCAGGAGAGTGCTGATGGGATGGGGGGGGGGGGGGGGAGGAGCGGGGAATGGAGGGTGGGGGAAGGGAGTTGTGGATTGCGTTGATTTTGGATTGAAAAGAGGAGAGGAATGTGTTGCATTTTTCCGGGGTGAAGGTGATGGAAGTACTGTCTATGGGGTGGAGCAGTTTTTTGACGGTGGAGAAAAGAGCCTTTTGGTTACTGGAGCCGGAGTGGATGAGGTTGGAGTAAAAGGAGGAACGAGCGGAGTTGAGGGCTGTTCTGTATAGGTGGAGGTGGTCGGTGTAGGCTTGGAGATGGACAGTGAGGCCGGTTTTGCGGTATAGATGTTCCAGTTGGCGTTTGTGGGATTTCATTTTGTGTAGTTCTGAGGTAAACCAGGGGGCAGAGTGTCTGAATGAAACTGTTTTTGTTTTGAGAGGTGCGAGCTGGTCCAGGCAGGAGGATAGAGTGTCATTGTAGTAGTTGAGTAGGTCGGGAAGTTTAGCAGATGGTGAGGGAGGGGATGCAGTGAGGGTGGCAGATAGGGAAGCGGAGAGGTCCTGAGGCGAGATGGATTTGAGGTTTCTGAAGGAAATTTGTCGTTTTTCACTGTGAGGCGGGGGGGGGGGGGGGGGGGTCGACGTTGAAAGTGACAGGTGGTCAGATATATAGAGGGTGGTGGTGGAGAGATGGTGGATGGAGATGCCGGTGGAGCAGACAAGGTCGAGGGTGTGGCCATGGGAGTGGGTGGGGGACTGCACATGCTGGGTGAGATTGAGGGTGTCAAGCAGATCCAGGAAATCGGATGCTTGTTTGCAGGTGGGGTTGTCAATGTGAAAGTTGAAGTCTCCAAGCAGCAGGACAGAGGATGAGATGGTGTTAAGGTGGGTGACAAAGTCAGAGAAATCAGAGAGGAATGATGGATGTGGCTTTGGGGGGGCGGTAGATAGTGACAATGACCAGAGGGGTGGGGCCAGGGAGTTTGACGGATATATTTTCAAATGAGTGGACGGACAGGGTGGGGACGGGGGTGGTCTTGAGGGTTTGTTTGTGGATGACTGCGACGCCTCCGCCTCGTCCAGTGAGGCGGGGTTGGTGCAGGTAGGAGTAACCGGGGGGGTGGCTTGGTTGAGTGGAAAGAGGTCGAGATGGTTGTGCCAGGTTTCAGTTAGATAGAGGAAGTCCAGGTTATTGTCTGTTATGAAGTCAGCTAGGATGAGTCCTTTGTTATTGAGGGAGCGGGTGTTTTGAAGGGCCATCTTCAGGGGAGGGGGCTGTGGGGTGTGCAGTGAGGCAGGGGGAAGGCAGCGGAGGTTTATTTGATTTCTTGTCCTTCTTTGTAGATGCATGGGATATGAGCGGGAGGGTCCAGTAGTTGTAATTGTTTGAATTGTTTGCAATTGTTTGGAAGGAGAGTCTGTGGTTGGAGGGTGTAGTAGCTGTTTGGACCAGGAGGGGGAGCTTGATGTAGTGGGGTCGATGGGGTTGGTGTGCAGTACCAGTTGGGGCCTGTTGGGGGAGCCGGTGGTGGGGGTGGTGAGGGCGAGGGTTCCGGAGGGGGGCCTCTGGGGGGCGCTGTTTCCAGGTGGGGTAGTGGGAGAGGATGACAGGGAGTGTGTAAACAATGTTAGTCAGTTGGTGTGTATGTGGTGTTGGATATTAGCGGCAAGTGTCTGATGGCCCAGTTTGTTAGGGTGAAGTCCGTCATTAGATTAGATGAATGAGAGCCGTTTTGGCCCAGCCATGAGTGATAGCTCTAATTCTGATTTCTTTTCTCACATGTCGCATCGTACACATCCTTTGGAGACATTGTTGGAAGCTGACGGAGGAGATGGGACTTATGGTGGACCTAACAGCTCTCATCCTGTCTCCTGTGCATTGTTTATGCTGGATTTTCCACAACACTTTCTGCTTTCCTCCTTCTTTCTCCTCTTTTCAGCACTGCTGGGGTCGCTTCTTTTCATCTTTTCATCTTATTTTTACTCTTCTCTCCTCTCCTCTTCTCAACTCATCTCTTCACACCGTTTGTTTTGTTTTGCTGCTGTCTTCCTGGATCCTTTCTGCACATGCACAGTAAGATGGACTGATCCATTGTAGTGGAGACTGAAGGGGGGGGCCCGAGACACACATAATACAATAAGCATTCTGCTGGCATTTTAGCGAAAGGATTTAAATCAAAAACATAATTAATGTGCACAAATAAGTAATAACTGTATGAACCATAAGTGTATGAGGAGTTTTATGGGGCCCTCAGGAACTTGGGGCCCTAGGCAACCAACTAGTTTTGCCTAATGGTAAGTCTGCCCCTCATAGCTTCTCACCTAAAACTTAAGCCGATTGGCCCTAAAGAGACACTGGGAGATCACCTTAAAGTCTTAAGGTCATTACACACCGGGGGAAAATTTGTGAAGCGAATTATTCAGGTTTTTTTTAAAAACACATAGAGCAGGCTTTCTCAAAGTGTGGTCCCACAAGTGGTCCGTGAGCGACCCCTAGCTGGCGACAAATAACACGTTTTAAAATTTAAAAGGTCAGTGTTTTAATTTCCAGTATTTCTCAAACTGCCTGCGACATATATGTGTTTTTTTCGATATCAAATCAAGTCTATGAAATAAAAAAAAAACTTGCTTTGTGGCATTAACTGACTTGAGCAGTGCAGTGGACTGGTTTGCGACATGAAACTGTACATCAAGTTAAAAGCGGGAATGTGACTGTGCATTGCGGTGTAGCCTAATGGATGTATGGCGCAAACAAGCATGCAAACAAATCTTAAATAGATCAGTGGTTTAGGGCCAAGTCGTGTAAAAGAAAAGCAGATGAAAATTCTGACTTGACTGGAAAAGCTGAGTCCCAGGATGATGGTTTAATGGCCGTAAGACTATGCAAAGGCTACTGAAGCTTCATACAAGATGTCCCTCTTAATTTCCAAAGCTGGAACACCTCATCCAAAAGATGAAAATTTAGTTAAACTAACTGCAATGGTGATGACCCGCATAGTGTTTGGTAGGAAAGCCAGTGACAAAATTAACAGAATTCCTCTTTCTAATAACACCGTCAATGACACCGCGGCACATCAAATCTATGGCCAAATCTGTGGAAGATCAGCTGGTGACACGTCACGATGAAAACTTGATTATACAGGACTTTAAAAGATCTCAAACAATGCTTACATAAAATTAGAAATATTATGAATGTATCTGGAAAAAACAACACCTAATTAGGCTAACATTGCAATTCTTCAGGACCCTCCTCAGTTTGCTCCACTACTGAGCCAAGCTCATCAACAGGTAGTTTTAGAACCAATGAACCTGTGAATCTCAGCTTTATGTTGAAAACTATTACACATGTTGAAGTTCAGAGAGCAAGATTGAACCTAAAATCTAATGGTGGTCCTGGATTAGATTGCATAAAAACAAAGTTTCTCTAACTGTCTTCACATTTATTAATGTATCCTCTTTGTGATCTCTTTAACATGTCCCTATCTACATTTCAAATGCCGGCCATCTGAAAATGTTCACAAATTACTTCTGTGCACAAATAGGGAGACATTTTATGTTCAACTGAAAAGTATTTGAAAAATTAATTTATGATCAATTGTCTCTCTATCTAAAAATAACAGCTCAACACCATCTCAGTCAGGTATCAGGCCAAATCATTCCACTGCTACCACTCTGCTTAAACCTATGACATCTTATTTGCTTCCAACAATATTGATTGACTGGTGCCATTTTTGTTGACCTCACAAAAGCTTTTGATCCAGTTGACCACTACTCTGTCCCTCAGGGTTTCGAAATCTGTAGCCAAGAAAATATTTATGTTCAAAGCTCCCTCAGAATGGAATAATCTTCCAGTAAATATTAGGTCTATCCCTCAGCTCCTCCTCTCCCCTCCTTCTCTGCTTTAGCAAGCCCCGCCCACAAAAAGACGCTCGTTCTCGCTCATATCTTTACAATTAAATTCAGATTATGGCAGATAAATACTTAAGATAATTACAAATGGGGCCCAGTCAACATGAGAGTAAAAAGCATTGTTGCCTCTGTAGATGCCAACAGACTACCAGCAAACACAATGTTTGCAGGACTTTTACAACTAGGATAAAGTGACATACTCCAGGACCGTTTAGCAGCACTACAACATGCAGCAGGCTCAATTTGAAAAGAAACATTTGTGTTACAGTCTCAATGCCTTTAGCTCCTCTGCAACTTAAACATAACACATTACAGGTAAATTAAACTTAAACTTAAGCGGCTTAGCTGTTCAACAGAAAGGTTACAGGGTGCATAAGATCCTGAAGCTTCCCCTATCATTTATGCTTCATGTTGACCTGGCTTTTTAGCTCTTGTCTGGTCTACCTCCTTTTTAAGCACCTGCTGTTCTGCCAGAGTCTCTGGTATTTACTTTGTTTTCTTGCTTGTGTTGGCAGACTTTTTGCTCAAGGAGGATTCGGACAATTTTCTGTACTTTTTGGTTGGATTCTACTGTCAGATATTGTAGCACGCTAACTTTGTTCGGGCTCGTGCACGTTATTCAAGGGCATGGAGCATGCCTCACAACACTAGGGAGCATAGTCTGCCTCACAAACAATCGGCATTAAGGAGCAGCGTCCGTCTCACAAACAATCAGGCCGGGAAGGTGGAGAACAGCTTTGTGTACAGTCAGAATGAGCAGGCCATTAAAAAATTTAAAATGTTTTTGATATTGTTACTGATATTGAAAACTTTTTGTATATACACCACAAAAAAAGATGCTTCTTTAACGGATTCCTGCCTGTCCCATCTTTAAGGTATACTTATAAATATACACCTATTCATTTTCAGTTACAATCATGTAAAATGTCCTGGTTGATTATGCAACGCTTGACTTCCAGAAAATAAAGTCAGTATTTTGCTTAATTGTGTTTAGCTCAATGCCACAGTGAGGAATTTTTGACTGATTGCAAAACAGGCTGTTGGTAGGGGTTGTTGTTATGACCGATTTGTTTGTGTACATGAGCTGGCTGAGTGTGGAGTAGGTGTGTATGTGTGGGTTTTGCTTGATTATATATGCAGGTGGAGATGTGTCATCCCGGACCGGGGATTAGTGAACGAGTGGAAGCCTGGGCCGTGATAGGCTAGAAGCCACAGCCACTCAGAGCCTGTGTAGTATAAAACAAGCAAGATGCTCACTTTAGATGAGAGAGAGAGAGAGAGAGAGAGAGAGAGAGAGAGAGAGAGACTGCAGGCAGTCACACATCGCCATCCTCCTCATCTCCCAACTGGCCACCTGTTGTGATTATTAGAGTGAGCTTTTGTGTGTGAGCAGTAAGGATGGACTGCCATTTTGGTTTTCACTGAGTTTTCTCCTGTTTTCAGTTAGTTAGAGAGGTAAGAAGGTTGTCTTTTGTTTGAATACTCAGGTAGGTAAGACATCTTGATTTACAGATAAGAATCCTTTTGTTAATTGTTTTCGGCCTAGGTCCACCCCGAAGCCTTAGTGCTCGCTTTTACTAATTATTTATTGTGTATATGTATATATATATATATATATATATATATTGAAAATAGACACTTATAAATAAATCATTATTACTAAGCTCACACAGAGTTGAAACAGAGTGGCCATTTGGGACATGGGGAAGATGGGTCCAATTCACGTTGTGCTCCAGAACCCCTAGACTGGGGCGTAACATTGTCTCACTTTGTGTTACGGTGTGTTTGACCCTAAATTAATTTTACGCGGGTATATCCCTTTTAATATTATTCTAATTTAGTCTGCAGCTGGTTAATGATTTTGTTTTCCATTGATTATTGTTATATTATTTTGCTCTAAATGAATTGCACTATGTCATCAGTCAAGTATAACATGTCTGGGATGTTCATTTTAAGAGTTTACTTTATATTTTTGAACTTATATAAAATATATAATCAAATGAGTAGGACAATATGAACAAGAGCATGTGAAATATATTAACAATTATTTAATGTTTTCTTTATTACACAAGAAAATAGCTCTTTTTGTGGCCCTGTTGACTTTAAAAATCTGGATAAACAAGATATTTATGGTCAAGTTGTGGTTGACATTAGGTTTTTCTAATTTTTAAGTCTTGACTTTTTGCCTGGCTTCACTTCTTATCCACATCTAAGCTGATGAATTTAAAAACAAGATATCTGTCAACCCAGTGACCACTTAAATATCAAGTCATGATGATGAAAGGACTTATGCTTACAACACAATGATAGATAAAGCAGACATTGACATTTTTTCTCTATCTTAAAATGACAAGAATGTCACAGCTAAAAATGTAATAGTGTTCATTCAGGATATTTAGTTCCCCTATTCCCTTGCTGTGTGTGCACGTGTTTGTATGCATGTGTGTGTGTGTGTGTGTGTGTGTGTGTGTGTGTGTGTGTGTGTGTATTTGCATAAGTATAATACAACAGATAGGATAGAGGAACAGCAGTAATGGAGTTTCCATCATCTAAGGACCTTTTTTATTATAATTATTTATTTTCGTTTGTTTTTGTGAGGATTACATGTCCCTGGAGAAATATATGGATCTGTTTTAGTCCCCATCAAACGTCTGGGGGAGAATTCATGTTTACAGATGATTTAATAGTCTCCTGCTCTGGCACCTGTAAAGAGCCCCAATCTGTTTGTCCTTGGCTTCGACTTATCTCTGCTGCTTTTGTTGCATCTCACTTCAATATATTTTGCCCAGGGCTAAACCACTTTTAGGCACATTAATGGTTGACCCTGAAATTTCCTTGGGAGTCAAAGTAAACGCTTTGACCACCCTCCAGCTGATCCACATTGACAACAAGATAGCAACGT